AGTTCCCGAGGAACACTGGCTTTTATCTAACCACTGCAATTTCTCCTACAGTCCAGGATATTTGGACTGCCTTTTGTGGTTTGGGGAATCAGAGTTTCCTTTGGACTGGACGGAATGAAAGATAAAACCCAACAGACAGACTTACATTATCATTACCATGTCAACGAAGGCTTAGCTCCAGCAAACAATGGGCTAGCACTAGACCTTCTTCTTTGTGTGGCTAGACTTTTCATTGCTGCTACAGACACCTAGGAAACTAAAGGGGGGAGACCAGTCTGAACCCCATTCCCAAAGTCTCAGGCCATGGCCACTTGCTGCTGTTGTTCCTTTGCCCATGATGAGGAAGAACATCGTGGTGGGAGCTTATGGCAGAGTTCCTTCCGCCAAGGAGGACAGGAAGCAGGAAGGATAAACAGAAGGCAAGGCACAAACCCAGCAATCTGCTTGCTCCAACAGGGCCCTCTTGCCATAGTCCCAGCGCCATCCAATAGCGTGGTACATGTTTGAATTCCAGGCTGGAAAGAAAACTCAGCTGCTTTTCCAGAGGACCTTGGGATCGGTTCCCAGCACCTACAGGGCAGCTCACCAATGTCTGTAGCTCCAGTCCCAAGATATCCAGCGCCCTCTTCTGGCCTCCGTAGGCACTGCATGTGTGTGGTGCACAGACAAATGCATTCAGACACCCATGCACATAAAATCAAAAGTAATAATAATAATAAAGGCTAAACGAAAAAGAAAAAGAAAACTCCACCAAAGTTTGAGTCCATCAATGATGAAAGCAAAGCCCTCAAGATCCAATCAGTTCTGCAAAACCTGCCTCTGTACATCACACTGGGTACTGGCTTTCAGGAGATACTTTATATCCAAACTGTAACTCTCCATGCATTCAGCCCCACATGCCATTCTAAGAAGAATATGGGAAAAACTTGAGTTTTGTAAATGGATACTTTACCAATTAAATATTATTGTCATATTATAGCTTATTTTTTCACTTCAGTCATGAATTTATTATTTAATTCTATCTGTTTTGCTTTCTTTTTTTTAAAGCTTTATTTATTTGTATTTTATGTACATTCGTGTTTTGCCTGCATGTATGTACACATGAGAGTGTCTGACCCCCTAAGAACTGGAATTACAGACAGTTGTAAGTTGCCATGCGGGTGCTGGGAATTGAACCCGGGTCCTCTGGAAGAGCAGCCAGTGCTCAGCAGCTGCTGAGCCATCTCTCCAGCTCTGTTTTGCTTTTGTTTTACACTCTTGACTTATATCATCTTCTGTGGCCTCTGATACTCATGTTGGAATTTAATCCTCATTAGGAGATAATCAGAGGTGGGACGGACCGGCTGAGAGGTGCCCAGGGCTCTGCCCTCAGTGGTAGGTTGATCAATCCATCCGTGCAATGAGTGCGTCTGTGGGTTATCTTCATGGTGAGTTGCCTATCAAGCCAACTTGGCCACTCTCGGGCTCCCTATCTCTCACCATGTGATGTCCTGTGCTGTTAGGACTTTGGCAAGAGGAAGGCCATCACTGAGTGGGGCCCTTCGACCTTGGACCAGAACCATGAGTCAAGGCAAACTCCTTTTAAGTTATGAAGTCTGCAACTGTGTGCAATGGCCACAGAAAACAGACTCAAAACATCATATGTGAAGCGTTCCTCAAGCTGGGGCTTCAGAGATGACGTCAACGGTGATGACTGTCATGTGAGCGTGAAGGACCTGACGGTCAGCACTCACATTCAGGCCATCTGGGGCAGTGCACACCCACACACCCAGCTCTGGGTGGAGAGGCATGAAGACAGAGGGATCCCTGAAGCTCATTATCAGCTAGTCTAGCAAACGGATGACCTCTAAGGTCAGTGAGAGACTCTCTCTCTAAAGCTAAGATGGAGAGTTCCATGTACACACGTACTCATGCTCCCACACATGTGATATACTCACACAAACATACACACAATTTTCCAAACTATCTTTTTGTTTGTTTTTTCCCCCCTTTTTTTGTTTGTTTGTTTGTTTTCAAGACAGGTTTTCTCTGTGCAGCTCTGCCTGTCTTGGAACTTGATCTGTAGCCCAGGCTGGCCTCGAACTCAGAGATCCTCCTGGCTCTGCCTCCTGAGTGCTGGGATTAAAGGCGTGTGCCACCACCGCCCAGCTCTCTTTTTGGTTTTTGCACACAGCCAGTATACAGTTTGGCAGAGGCTCGTGGAAATGGCTCATGCATCGAAGTCAATGGAACTCTAAGAACTATTTACTGACTGTATTGACAATCTCTCCAACACAGGCTTTCATGTTCACTTCAAGGCCTGGCTTGAGAGCTAAGAAGGGAGGTAAACTGAGGAAGGAAGGAGACCAAACTACTTGAAGAAAGCATAAGCATTGCTTGGTGGCAGGCTTTTCCTGGGGAACTGTCTAGCAACCTAAAGCATTAGGGTGTATGACTGGGGAGGTTTTTATGGCTGGAAAAAAAAAAGCCCCAAGTCTGATGAAGCATACCCATCCTCCTTTGAGATTATTCTCGGGTTTTCTTCAGCTCTTCTGCTAACCCAGAAAACAACCTCAAGGACCAATGTTCTTCTTCTTTCCTTGACTTGGAATTCTTGCATAACTAATGCAGAAAACCTCTTTTAAGGGCTGATGTGTAGTTTGGTGGTAGAGTACTTGCTTTGCATATACTTGGGTTCCATCACCTTGCAAGAAAAAAAGAGACACCCCGCCTTAAAGGTGTTTATGTATTTGTTTGTTGCGTGTGCACACACTTGTTCACTGTGTGTGATCGTGGCATGCCATTGTGAAGGTCGGTGGACAACTTTCAGGAGTTGGTTCCTGCCTTCCACTGTGTTTCTCCCAGCTGTTTCTTTTCCTCTGTGTTTCCCATTTCTTCTGTAGAGATGTTCAGATTAATTCACTCCACCACATTGTGTGATTTTTAAATTAATTTATTTTTATTTTATGTGCATTGGTGTTTTGCCTGTATGTATGTCTAAGTGAATTGTCAGATCCCCTGGAGCTGGAGTTATAGACAGTTGTGAGATGTCATGTGGATGCTGGGAATTGAACCCAGGTCCTCTGGAAGAGCAGCCAGTGCTCTTAACCACTGAGCCACCTGTTCCGCTCCCCACATTTTGCTTTTTATGAGGGTTCTAGGGACCTAACTCAGGTCACCAGGCTTGTGTGGCAAGTGCTTTTACTGAATGAGTCAGTTCCCTGGCTCCTAAACACTCTTTTATTGATAGAGCAGATTTCGGAGCCTAGGACTCTGCTCCTGGCCCCACCATATGGAGTCTTGGGGATTTTATTGGGTGCTGGGTGGGCATGGCTCTTGTTAAAAAGCCTTTAGAGGTTTGGAGAACAGTTCAGAGGCAGAACTTTTGTTTGCCTAGCATGCACGAAGTTTAACCCCAGCAAAGATCTTTTAAAAAGAAAAAGGCTGGGGTTGATGGTACGAGCCTATAACCCCAGCACCTGGAGGGCACAAGCAGGCAGATCTCTGTGAGTTTGAGGCCAGGTCCACATATCAAGTTCCAGGGTAGTCAGGGCTACCCAGTGAGACTATCTGAACAAAGATAAAAGGCAGGGCTGGGGGGCTAAAGAGATGGTTCAGCAGTTAAGAGCATTTTCTGGGGCTGGAATGATGGCTCAGTGGTTAAGAGCACTTGTTGTTCCTGCAAAAAACCAGGTTTGACCCCCAGCACCTGTACCTCCAGTTCCAGGGGATCGAATGCCCTCTTCTGACCGCCGTGGGCACCAGGCACACACACTGGGCACATATATACCTGCAGGCAACATTAAATAAAATATATGTCTTAAAAAAAAGATAGCTTTGTGAGTTCGAGGCCAGCCTGGTCTACAGAGTGAGATCCAGGAAAGACACAAAGCTACACAGAGAGAACGCTGTCTCAAAAAACCAAAAAAAAAAAAGATAAAGCACTTGCTGCTCTTCCAGACAGAGGACCAGAGAGAGGACCAGAGTTTGGTTCCTGGCATCCACATCAGGCGGCTGTCAATCACTGTTAAGTCAGGTCCCAGGGACTCAGGTGCCTCTGGCCTCTGAGCTGAGGCTACCTGCACAAGCGCGCGCGCGCACACACACACACACACACACACACACACACACACAAAAAAAAAAAAAAAAAAACCTAAAAACAGGAAATCTTTTTTTTTTTAACAAAAATATATAATATTTTAGTGAAGTAGTTTTGGGAGATAACCAGTGGTCACATGGCCACAAATATCATCAGAAGCCCTCACAGCTATAAGAAAAAGTGCTCACTCCCCCAGCGCACATGGGAAAACTGGGGTGGTACAGAGAAGCAAGACCCCTGTGAAACGCTGCCACAAATACCGATGAAGTGTTCCCTAAAAACTAAACAAAACCGAGAAAGAAATAAAAGGCGTTGGAGTAGACACTGACGGAGTTGGGGGTTCCTCATTTCAAACCACGATGTGAAGAACCTCTTTTTTAGTGATCTATGCTGGGAAAGAGGTGGTATGCTGGTTAGATTTGTCAACTCGATACAAGCTAGAGTCATCTGGAAGAGGGAATTTCAACTGAGAAAACGCCTCCATTAGATTGGCCTGCAGGCAATCCCACTGGGGGCGTCTTCTTGATTAATGATTGCTGTGGGAGGGCCCAGAACAGAGGGGCGGGTGCTAGGTTCCTGGGTCCAGAGCCCGGTCCCCCATCCCTGGCACTCAGGCCTGGGTGGATGCCTGTCCACTTCTGCTTTCCCTGGCTCTCAGAGGCCTAGGCCTGGGGTGCCACTGCGGTCGCCTGCTTGCACACGACCGACCGGGCGCTGGACGCCTCTGGCTTCTTGCACTGCACTCCGGGGAGGCTGGAGTTTAATCACACAGTGTCCGGCTTCCTGTCCTCGTTCGCCCCCCTCCGGCCCGCTTCCCTGGCCCCTCCCTCTCCCCTGGCCCGATCCGCCCACCAGCTCCCCCTCCCCATCCCTTGGGTCCTGGGATGGGGGGGCGGTGAGGCAGGCACAGCCCCCCGCCCCCATGGCCGCCCGTCGGAGCCAGAGGCGGAGGGGGCGCCGGGGGGAGCCGGGCACCGCCCTGCTGGCCCCGCTGGTGCTGAGCCTGGGCCTGGCGCTGGCCTGCCTTGGCCTCCTGCTGGTCGTGGTCAGCCTGGGGAGCTGGGCAACGCTGTCTGCCCAGGTGAGGCCCTCGGCAATACCCTTCTCTGAGCATATTAGGAGCAGAAAGTGCAGAGAAGCAGATGGGGGCCGGGAGGGCAGAGGGCCAGGGGATCGGAGAAGGGGTGGAGGATAAGATGTCAAGAGGACAGGGTGACGCTGCCTCCCTCCCAGCAGGAGCCTTCTCAGGAGGAGCTGACAGCAGAGGACCACCAGGAGCCCGCTGTGAGTAGGTGTGGATGCTGTGCGCAGGATGCCAGCATGGAAAAATGTGCCCGAGTTGAGGCTTTGGCTGGCGGTGACAGCTGTGTGTGCGTGTGCGTGTGTGTGTGGTGTGTGCATTCAGCTGTATGTGCATGAAGACTCCCGCGTGCTCTCGTTTACAACCGAGTGTGCGGAGTGAACCAGCCCACGTGGGTACGTCTGTGTGTGAGAGGGTGATCTGGGTGTAGGGAGGTAACTCTTAGCACAAAAGGAAGAGTTGTGCTACCTGAGTGGGAAGTGCTGATTGGCTGTGAGTGAGGTGAGCCTGAGAAATCGGAGCCTGGCAAGGCTCTGTGAAAGATGCTATCACCTGTGTATACATGCCGGCTGCCTGTGCCCCACCTCCCTCCGTGTGTGTGTGTGTGTGTGTGTGTGTGTGTGTGTGTGTGTGTGTGTGTGCAGGGTGCAGGCTGTCCGTTGACTGAGGCTGAAGGCATTAAAGTCCATCTGGTTCCCAGCCTCACTACCCAGGTTTAGCCAACCCTGAGGATCTGTGTCTGTTACTGGCTAACGGTCCTTCTGGCAGGCCCTATGTATGGCTATGTATGGCCAGGAGGTCCTGTTTGAACCCTGCCCTTGATTCCTAGGAACTGAATCCCCAGACAGAGGGAAGCCAGGATGTGGTGCCTTTCTTGGAACGACTAGTCCGGCATCGAAGAAGCGGTGAGCATCCATCCTCGTGTCCCATCTCAGGAGGGACAAACCTGGCTAGTCATTGGTTCATTCACTGCTTCGCCCTTCACAACCGTCTATGAAATGAGCAGGCTAAAGCTATTATTTTCATAGAGAAACTGAGGCAGGGAGCATGAAGGAGACACAGAGTCAAACAGCTAAACAGCTGAGAATGGGCTCTAGGAATTTTAGCTCTGCCTTCCAAAGCTGCTTTTGCTATATGGACTTGCTTCCTATGGACCCTACCACAAATGGCCAGGAGTTTGAAAGACTCCTGGAGCCTCCAAGGACAAGGTGGAAGAGTCTGAGGCCTGGGCATCCCAAAGCAAAGACTTCTATGAATCAATGGTACATTCCTATATATCCAAGTTCAGATGGATGAAATTGTCCTGCTTTGTACCTGATATCTCTGTGTGTGTATGTGTGTGTGTGTGTGTGCATGTCTCTGTGTGTGTCTATGTGTATGTGTGTGTCCATGTCTCTGTGTGTGTATGTGTGTGTGTCCATGTCTCTGTGTGCATGTGTGTGTGTGTGTGTGTGTGTGTGTGTGTGTGTGTATGTGTGTGTGGTGGAGATAGAACCCAGAGCCTCTTACATGCTGGGCAAGCACCCCACCACCAAGCTGCACCCCTCCCCCGGTGTGATTATTAATTAATAGCCACCATTTGCTCTCACAAGTACCCCAGTTTGGATGATAAATTATGCTGTCACTGTTTATGAAGGAAGATGAGGTTTAAAGTATGATGGCTAGGAGTCTGGAGAACACTAAGGCTGCCAGGGTCCTGAGCAGGGAGAGAGGCTGGGGGGCTGGCTCCTGGCTCTCAGAGAGGTCTCTCTGCTGACCTCTCTTTATTCTTAGCTCCTAAAGGCCGGAAACCGCGGGTTCGCAAAGCTATTGCTGCACATTATGAAGGTGGGTCGCCCCTTAGGAAGGGGGGTCGCCCCTTAAGAAGGGGGGTCGCCCCTCAGGAAGGTGGGTCGCCCCTTAGGAAGGTGGGTCGCCCCTCAGGAAGGGGGGTCGCCCCTTAGGAAGGTGGGTCGCCCCTCAGGAAGGTGGGTCGCTCCTCAGGAAGGGGGGTCGCCCCTCAGGAAGGTGGGTCGCCCCTTAGGAAGGTGGGTCGCCCCTCAGGAAGGCGGAAGTGGTGGCAGAGGGCAGAGCAAGTCTCACCAACCTTTCCTGTGTCTCACAGTTCATCCACGGCCAGGACAGGATGGAGCGCAGGCAGGTGAGACCCCCATCTCCACCTCTGAGCTTCTCTTGACCCATCAGAGCAGCATCCCCTGCCCCAGAAAAGGGTTCCCCAACCCTCTTCCTCCCTGTGTCCAGCCTAGGAACCCCAGAAACCAGTTTATGAAAGTCCTCCAAGTTCTCTTGTGACCCTGGCATGGCGGGTCAGGAGAGAAATAGGCGGAAAACTCCCGCCCTTCCAGAACCCAGGCTAGCCCCTTTCCAGAACCCAGGCTAGCCCCTTCCCAAACCAATGGCCCCAGCTTTTTCTTCCTACCCTCAGGCTTTGCGAAGCAGTCCCCACGATCCTTTCCTTTTTTCTCCGTGTTCCGTGGTTTTTCCTGCTGTGCGACCGTTGTTTCTCCAAGGGTTTCTAGTCTCTGCCCATCTCTATTGCCTCCCTTAGAACCCCAAACTCAGCTCTGCCCCTCCCCATCCTCAGTCTCCTTGCCTCCCCTCTTTGTCCACCTACGCTGCCCAGCGAAGCCCTCCTGAATGTACAGATCCTCTCCTGTCGCTTTTCTGCTGAGCTGCCTGTCCCTCTGCTATGGTCTCAGCCTCACTTCCTGGCACTTGCTTGTGGGGCTGACACTCCTGGGCCCTGGTGTGTCTCTTCTGGACTTTGAGCAGACTGTTTCCTCGCCTGGAGCATCCTTCCACTGTGTGGGCGTGGAGACAAGGCAGGAGGTGGCCCAGCCCAGGGTGTTAGCAGTAGAGGAGCAGAGCTCTGGAGGTCCGACAGGTGGCTTCAAGATGCAGGGTTTGCTTGTGGGTTCCATGACAACGGCCAAGAGAAATGGAGGGATAATAAGTAGCATGTATATTGTTTTCTTTTGAGATAGGGTCTTGCTACTCCACCCAGGCTGCTCTGAAACTCAGGTGACCCTCTTGCCTCAGCCTCCTTAGAGGCTGGAGCTATACGGGCTTGTTGTGCCTCGACACCTGGCTTGAACAGCACTGAGAATGATAGTGCCTAAGTCTGGATCGGCCAGCAGGGAAATAGGTTGTACGTCTAACAATGACCACGGGGAGAAAATGGTTAGTAAAGTAGATCTCACCAGTGGGTGGTGAGAAATGGTCATGGGGTTGTTATTTAAAGCAACAGGATGAGATGAGACACCAGAGGAGAGAAATACCCCAGAATGAAGCTGGGCAGAGGGGGGAGCCAGCGAGGAGATGGGAAAGGAAGAAGCTCAGGCAGGGCGGTGTCCTGAGAGCTCCGACGACCATGACAGGCAAGAGGATGTGGCTGTCTGTGCAGAAGCAGCTGAGAGGTCACGAGATGAAGACAGAGATGTGACTGCTGGGCTTGGTGACTAGCGTCAACTGATGACCTGATGGGTGACTTCAGCGTTGTGACTAGGAGAGCAGTGTGGACTGGGCAGAAAACAAGAAAAGGGGGTGAGAGACAGTGACAAGAGAGAGAGACAGCGGGTAGGTAAAGGGGAACGGCCGGGCGGCGGTGGCGCACGCCTTTAATCCCAGCACTCAGGAGGCAGAGGCAGGCAGATCTCTGTGAGTTCGAGGCTAGCCTGGGCTACAAAGTGAGTCCCAGGACAGGCTCCAAAGTGACACAGAGAAACCCTGTCTCGAAAAACAAAACAAACAAACAAAAAAAAAAAGAGGGATGAAGGCCAAGGAAAACCTGTCCTTCTAATGAGACTATCCATCCTAGTGCTTTTGGGGTAGGCACTGGGACTAGCTGGAATTATCAAATCCCTACAACTACCTTAGCAGGAAGATATTCTGATGACCTCTACTTAGTAAATGAGAGTTATATGCTCTGAGATCACAGCAAAGCTAAGTGGTGGAGGCCGTGAAGGCCCGATTCAAAGCCGGTAAGGACATGCTTGGGTGCTGAACACAGTCTTCTTGAGAAGCACACTTGTTGGTGTGTGGATGAAGCTGCCCATAGGCCAGAGCCCAAGAAGGTGGAAGGGATGTTTCTAGAAGCAAGGACACACATCATAATGGTGCCAAAGGAACACATGAGAAGAGGTGCTTGGAGGTTTTGTAGGGGGAGATGAGGAGCCCCGGCCTAAGGATGGTTAGGGACACAGGAGCAGGGGTCTAAGGAGATGCTACAAAGCCCAGCACTTGGTAGGGGCAAGTGAGTTGCCAGGTAGTCTTAGACACCCTTTGAAGGGTTGTAGTGGTGACGTGAGTGACCTTGGGACCATTCACATTCCCGGGTACACCGTGCCCTTTGGCCACAAGCAGACTTGCCTGAGCCGGTCTGCACCCGGTTTACCTGCTTCTCTTTCCCCTCCCTGTTCCAGGCCAGCTCTCGTCACCTTAGCAGAGCTCATTTCTTTGGGCACTTTCCCAGGCATCTGTTCCTTAACATACATGTATCCGGAGCCTGCTGTTTCCCGGGGACCAGGGACCAGAGCCGAGGTGCTTGCTTCAGGATTCCCTACAGAGGAGTAGCAGACAGTCTATAAATGTGTAATTACAGGGCTGGAGGACAAGGACGACAGTGAGGTAGCCCAAGATACACGGCGCTGCACAGGAAGACAGTGTTCCAGTGGAGTCAGGGACTCATCCGCCCTTGCAGTAGCTTGGAGGCCTTCCGAGGCTGTGAAGCCTAACTGTGTGGTGTTGAGAGAGTCAGCAACCATGCAAGGCCAGGCTTTTCCAAGAGTCTGATGAGGTTGAAAGTTGTAGGAATCTCAGCGGGGCTGAGGCAGAAAGTCCTCTAGAAACGTGGGGGTGTCCAGTGTTTTGATACTGTCACATGATGATGTCCTCTACAAACATACTGGACCACATTCGTAGCTCCTCTGGGATGCATGGGACCCCCCTGAGGGCTGTAGAATGGACATACCTCTAAGAGACATAGGCTGGGTTATAAGATTGCGGAAGACAGATGGCAGGCGGGTCACAAAGAGAAAAACGGGGCTTGATCTCCAGTGACCCATCACTGAAATGCAGGGAGAAGCAAGCCCAGGTCTGCAGTTTGGAAACAGTAACTCAGGGCTTTGTTTGGGAAATGAACTTCAAGAGGCAAGGGTGGAGACCGGGGTTCCAGTGAGGAGTCCCAAGGAGACCAGACTGGGGAGAAAAGGGAGGAGTGGGCAGGGCCGTTCAGGAGCAGGAATGGTAGGAAACTGTGATCACCCAGCAAACCGGGTATAGAAGAGACCAGTGAGACCATGAGCCACGTGTGGGATGTAGATAGTGGAGCGAGTCCTCCTTCACCCTTCTGGGGGAGGAGGTTAGTTGTTTGGGTGAAGGAGGGCTCTGAGGAGCCTTTAGGGCTGGACTTAAAGGACTGTGCTAACTCAGGTGAGTGTGCCCAGGAAGAAGCACCCCCACTTTTTTCAGTGTGGTGGGAGAGCCAGCCTAGGACCCTACACAGGCTAGACCAGCGCTCTACCATGGGCCTGCGCCCTAACCCAGAGAGTTACTGTTTACTTGAAAAGGGACAAGAAATTCAGGCAGGGTGGTACCTACTGGGATCCCAGCACCTTGAAGGATGAGGCAGGAGGATCACAAGTTCAAGTGCACTCTAACGACTAGGCAGCCAGGGCTACAGGGTGAGACCCTCTCCCGAGCCAACATTAAAAACCACAAGTGAGCCTGGCAGTGGTGGCACACGCCTTTAATCCCAGCACTCAGGAGGCAGAGGCAGGCGGATCTCTGGAAGTTCGAGGCCAGCCTGGTCTACGAGTGAAATCCAGGACAGGCACCAAAACTACACAGAGAAATCCTGTCTCAAAAACAAAACAAAACAAACAAAAAAAAACCCCACAACAACCCACAAGTGACCAGAGCAGAGGAGGAAGACTAGGAACGCCGAAGACTGAGTGCTCGGGGTCCTGAGACCCAGGCAGCCTATGGACCTAAGGACTCCTCTCTTCCCACCAGTGAGTCCTAGGCCCAGTTCCAAGTGCTGGGAATACAGACCGGGTGAATAAGACAGCTGTCCTTGCCCTTGCCGGGGAGTCACACCCTAGAGGGGATAAATAAAAAAGGTTTCTTATTTTGCTGACTGCCAGGGAACGGGCAGGAGAGACAACAGAGGCGGGTTTGTTTGCTTGTCTTGTGTTACTTTGTTTTGTCTGAGACAAAGTCTCAGTTTGTAGCCCATGCTGGTTTTGAACTCAGAGACTTTCTCAATCTCCCAAATGCTTGGATTATAGACCTGTACCACCACACCCACCATTACCACAGGAGAAGCCAGAAGGTGGCTGTCCGGAAGAAGTCCTGGGAAGAAGGAAGGACATTATAAAGCCCCAGAGGTGGGGTGGGGGGAGCTTGGTGAATAGCGAGAGATGGGAAGAAGGCCAGGATGGTTGTGGTGGGTGAGAGTGTCGTGTGGGGAGTCAGTGAGACTGGAGAGGTAGACAGCCTTGGAGGCGGGGTCTGGGAAGCCATGGACACTGGGCTCTATGCTTACTAATTCTGTTTCAATTTTCTTTTCATTTGTTTCCTTGCGTTTTCCTAGACAGAATTTCTCTGTGTAGCCCTGGCTGCCCTGGCACTCACTCTGTAGACCAGGCTGGCCTCGAATTCCCAGAGATCCGTCTGGCTCTGCCTCCTGAGTGCTGGGATTAAAATCATGCGCCACCGCCACCACCCCCTGGCGGGGATTTCTTTTTGTTCATTTTTGGTGACAGAATGTAAGGCAAGCTAGCTAAGGGCTTTAGCACTGAGCTGTATCCCCAGCCCTTTCCATGGTATAGTTTTTGGTACAGCTTTATTGAGATAGATTTCACACTCCATGCAGTCTGCCCATCTGTACAACCCAGTGTTCTTTAGTCTCCTGTGACTAGACTAAAGTACAGCCTAAGGTGCAAACCACTAATCGCCACAAGCCCTGACTCATGCCTTTAACCCCAGCATTTAGGAAGCAGAGGCAGGCGCAGGCTGGTCTCTGTGAGTTTGAGGCCAGTCTGGCCCATGTAGTGGGCAACCTGTACAGCCAGGATAGAGAGACCCTGTCACAAAACAAAAATAACAAAACCCCACAAGCCCAAGTCTGGTAAAGTGGCACATAGCCATAATCCCAGCACTTGGAAGGTAAGAGGAAGAGTATCAGGAATTCAAGGTCATCCTCAGCTGCCAGCCTGACCTACAGAGACCCTCTCTCAAAAAATAATAGCAGTGATAAAAAGAGGAAGAAAAGGTAATGCATCCTTTAGCTGTCACCTTATAGTCTCATCATGCCTAACCTCAAGCAATGGCCCACTCGCTGTCTCTGTAGACTGCCAAATGCAGGCATTTCCTCTGCTCGGGAGCGTACAATATGCATTTCTTTCACTTAACATTGTTTTCAAGGTTTGTCTACGTGATAGCAAGCAACTGTTCTTTATTTCCTTTGATAGCAGAGTAATACTCAGTGCATAAGACTGCCACATTTGTGCATCTGTTCATCAGCAGATGGACAGTCAATGTCACTTTATTCTTTTCTTGTTTGTTCGTTTTTGTTTTTTTGAGACAGGGTTTCTCTGTGTAGCTCTGGTTGTCCTGGATCTCACTCTGTAGATCAGGCTGGCCTTGAACTCACAGAGATCCGTCTGCCTCTGCCTCTTGAGTGCTGCGATTAAAGGCGTGCGCCACCACCGCCTGGCATATTCTTTTCTTGTTTTCATAAGATATTTTAAATTCACAGCCCATGAGTCTGTGTCCTGTCACTCATTTCTTTTTATTGACTCAAATAATGCATGTCTGTGTATATACACTCTACTATATAGTCAAGAGACAAGCAGTAAAGACAGATGAAGTAAAATGTAAAATCCCCAACTCTCCTGCTTCAGAACTATTCTTTAATCTCCCAAGATGCAATCACCAGTGACAATTTGCCCTGAAACTTTCTGGTCACCTATGTTAGATCTCATCACACAATACCTTATTATCACTGTGGGCTTCATAGGGGCCATGGCTCCTCCCATACTCTGGGCCACTGATACCCTCTTCTGGGTAAGGTGGAATATATGTGTATTATGGAATATATATGTATATATATATATTTTCCCCAATGGATTCTTGGGGAGTGTGGAGGATTCTTGTATTCTTGTAAAGGGACTTTTACTTATCCCTAAACATCCACATTCAGGTGTCGATGGGACCGTGAGTGGCTGGGAAGAGGCCAAAATCAACAGCTCCAGCCCTCTGCGCTACGACCGCCAGATCGGGGAATTTACAGTCACCAAGGCTGGGCTCTACTACCTATACTGCCAGGTAAGCTCTGCCTGGCTCCACGGGCAGAGCAGTGGCGAAGGGGAGAAGGACGGGGCCTCGGAGGTAGGAAGGGGGGCAAGGTATAGGTGGGAGAGGGAGCCTCTGGATTTCTAAGGAGATTGGAAATTCAGACGAGGCAGGCAGCGGCCTGGACCTTGCTGGTCCTCTTTCTGTCCAGGTGCACTTCGATGAGGGGAAGGCTGTCTATCTGAAGCTGGACTTGCTGGTGAATGACGCGCTGGCCTTGCGCTGCCTGGAGGAGTTCTCAGCCACGGCAGCAAGCTCCCCGGGACCCCAGCTTCGGCTGTGCCAGGTGTCTGGGCTGCTGGCCCTACAGTCCGGGTCTTCCCTTCGGATCCGTACTCTGCCCTGGGCTCATCTTAAGGCTGCCCCCTTCCTCACCTACTTTGGACTCTTTCAAGTTCACTGAGGGCTCCTGCTCTCCAAGACTCCCTGTACCCACACAGCTCCCGGAGCACTGCGACCCCTGACCCTGAGCTCCAGTCCTGTCCTCTCCTCCAAAGGCAGCCGGGGCTTGTTCACGTGTTTTCCATCCCACCGAAACATTCCTGTTCTTCCTTAACACCCCATCCCACCCCAGCTGTCCACCTCCCTAGCTCCCAAAGCCCCACTTGTCCCTGATCGCCCCTGGCCCCGGCCCCCCAGGACACTGTGTTTACTGACTGTGCATCAGGCACTGAGATGGGCTGGACCTGGCAGCAGGAAGCAAAGAGCCTGGGACTGGGCCAGAAGTTCCCAAATGTGAGGGCTAAGAGCCTTAGACAAGCCCCTCCCTGGATCCCTGTGGATTTTGAAAAGATACTATTTTTATTATTATTGTGACAAAATGTTAAATGGATATTAAAGAGAATAAATCATGATTTCTCTCTTCTTTGGGGCCCAGAATAGCTGAAAGTCATGGGAAGGACGTTTGGGCATGTAAGCTACAATTTTGAGTGGAAATCACAAAGGTATCAGAAAAACAAAACCACCTGGTCCTCTCCGCTCAAGGTACTGCAGAAGCAGTCTCATTTCCCTAACAGGCGGACTTCCTCCTGCAGGGGGAATCCCTGGCTGGGAGGAGCAGGAGCCCTTCCTGTTGGCGGCCTTAGAAGGCTCAGCAGTTCAGCAGGTGCTGGCACAGGCCCTCGCCAGGAGATGGGGTGGCAGCTAGCCTGGAAAGGGGCTCAGAGCCATGGGAAGGACTGCGGGGGCCAGGCGCACGAGCCGGGCCCCTGGGCCTGGGGAGCGCCGCAGTGGCTGGGGGCTTGGGACTCTATTCTTTTGTCTCTTCGTCCGTCCGGAGAGCCTTATGTAAGAACTCTTCTTGGGAAACAGGAAGTCCAGCTTGCCAAGTTCAGCACGGGGAGTAGCAGAGGCCTGGTTCCAGCACGCCCGGCCCAGCCTTAACCCCAGCTCCCTGCCAGCTTCTTGTCCCGGGTTCTCTTCCCTGCTGGCCCCTCAACCCCTTTTTTTCATCTCCAGTCACCCCTAAGGAGCCTCCCGAGAGATCCCGTCCAGGCCCGAGTCAGAGGCTCTGCCCCACTCACCTTCGAAAGCTCAATGCTGCCCAGTTTATACCCCTTCCCTGCTCCTGGCACCATGCCCCATAACCAACCGACCTTCCCTCCTCCAACTCAGGGGCCGTCCCTGGGCTCCTGAATGCTGGCCGCTCCTTCTGGGTGTCACAGGCCGCTCTGTCCTTCCTAGACAATTGGCACCAAATTCTCCCGAGGCTGGGAGTTGGGGTGGGGGGCAGAGTGACACCAGCTCTACAGGGTGGGCCAGGGGTACTAACAGCACCCCGAGTCTGCTTTCTTCCTCTCTCCTTTTTATTCTCCAGTTCCTTTTTATTTCTCCCTTGCGTAACTGCGCTCTTCCCTTCTGTGCCCTGCCTGTATTCCCACCCTCCCGGCCACCTCATTTCTGAGACCACGGCTGTGGGCAGCATCCCCAGCTCATGCCAGCCTCATCTCCAGGTAACATGGGGGGCTCGGTCCGAGAGCCGGCCCTCTCGGTTGCTCTCTGGTTGAGTTGGGGGGCGGTCCTGGGGGCTGTGACTTGTGCTGTGGCGCTACTGCTCCAACAGACAGAGCTGCAAAGTCTGAGGAGGGAGGTGAGCCGGCTGCAGCAGCGGAGTGGAGCCCCTTCCCAGAAGCGGGGAGAATGTCCATGGCAGAGCCTCTGGGAACAGGTGAGTAAGGGGGGAGGGGAGACTTGGGGTGAAGGAGGAATGGCAGAGGGGTCTCAGGGCCTCTCAGTCTGCAACATTTCAAGTAGGTGCAAGAGGCAGCCCTGGATTCGGAAGTCAAGGGAACAGCCATTCCAGGAAGATAGACTGTTACAGATTGATACTTCTTGTAGCAAGAACACCCTGCAAGGGAGTCAGTGCCCAGAGCAGGGGCCTAGGACAGGTGCAGAAATCTGAGCTATTCCTCGCGTTGGGGAGAGCTGGGGATGATGGCTGTCTGAGACCCTTGTGTCTTTAGTTAAATGACCCTCTTTCCCGAGCAGAGTCCCAGTGTCCTGGAGGCCTGGAAGGATGAGGCGAGGTCTAGGAGGCGAAGAGCAGTGTTCACCCCCAGGCACAGGAGTGAGTGAGCCCTGGGCTTCAGCGGGGGCGGGAGGTGATCCGGAAGTCTGGGGAATGCCCGACCAGAGCTGAGGTGAGGGCAGAGGGTGGACTCCAGGGGCAGGTCAACACCGCTGTTTCCTCCTTCTCTCCTTAGAGAAGCACTCAATCCTGCATCTTGTTCCCGTTAACATTACTTCCAAGGGTGAGCACTATTTTAAATAATGGCATTGTGGGAGGGCACCAACCAGGAACTGTGGAGCTGGGGCCAAGAGAATTCTAGAAAGAAAAAGGGGGGAGCTCATGTATCTGAGTGTAAAGAATGCTGACCTGCCACGATCCTCACCTGCAGTGGACTCTGACGTGACCGAGGTGATATGGCAACCAGCTCTTCGGCGTGGGAGAGGCCTGGAGGCCCAAGGATACGTTGTCCGAGTCTGGGACACTGGAATTTATCTGCTCTACAGCCAGGTAACCCCAGACAAGCCCTGGGGCCACCATGTGGGCATGGAGGCTGGCTTGTCACCTTCTTTCTTATGGACCTCATACTGAGGGTTCCCCTGGTCCCTCTGTTCACCCCACACTTAGAAGAGCCCCTCCTTACTGCCTGGCTCCTTATCAGGGCTCCCGAGGCCTCCCAGGACTGAATTTTGCATTTCTGGTTTTCTTCAGCATCTTCTCCCTCCCCCGACAGGTCCTGTTTCATGATGTGACGTTCACCATGGGTCAGGTGGTATCTCGGGAAAGCCAGGGGAGACGGGAGACCCTATTCCGATGTGTCCGAAGTATGCCCTCAGATCCTGACCGGGCGTACAATAGCTGCTACAGTGCAGGTGAGAACTCGGGGGTCCGTAGAGGGCTGCTGTGAGCACAGCAGGTCACATCAGCTCAAGCAGAGCTGATTCGAGCCGGGGAACTGCGAAGAGAGCTGGGAACCCGGGTGTAGAGGCAAATCCAAAGAATAAAGAGCAAGATGCCCACGTCCTTACAGGGAGAAAAGGGACGAGCCTATGAACCACAGGGTTCACCCCTATAATCACAACACTTAGGAAGCTGAGGTGGGAGGCTGGCCTGAAGTTCAAGGCCAGCCTCCAGTACAGTGTGAGGCTGTCTCAAACATGAAACAAGGGCCAGTGAGAAGGTGCTTGCTCCATCCCTCACACTTCACTGCCTGAGTCTGATCTTACAGCCCACAGAGCAGGAGGAAGTAACTGACTCACAAGTTGTCCTCTGATCTCCACACATGCCCATGTCCGCCCCCCCTCCACACAAAGAAAACATAAATCAAAATGGAGGAGGAGCCGAGTGTGAAACATCTGAGATCTCGGGTGCTGCCTGTGTTTCACTGAACATCTGTTCTCTCATCTTTCCCCTCAGGCGTCTTTCATTTACATCAAGGGGATATTCTGACGGTCAAAATTCCACGGGCAAACGCGAAACTTAGCCTTTCCCCGCACGGAACCTTCCTGGGGTGTGTGAAACTGTGACCGTGCTGTCAGAGGGGGTTCTGAACTGAGAAGAGCACTGTGGGCCCGTACTGGAGGCTGCAAGGACTGGCCAGACAAAGGACAAGCAGATGGTCAAGAAGGGATCTCCTTGGGTTTGAATCCGTGACTCTTGTCCCTCCCTCTGCCTTCCCCCCTCCCCCTCCCTGGGCTTTGACATAAAGGATATTAAAAAGGTACAAGATTTTGCGTTTATCTCCCACCCAGCCCCAAATTCTTTTGTTGTGTGTGTTAAGGGGGTTTCCGTGGACTGTGCCAAGCCTTGTCCACTCCACGGAGTCCACTGGAATGCATCCAGAACAGCACCACCATCTAGCGGCAGCTTGAGGAAGGAATACAGCCTCTGCTAGGGAAGCCCGGGGCTCTTGGCCACGCCTCTTCGAGTGCCCTCCGCTTCAATTTCCAAGAACCCCGTTTTCACTTCTATTGTGTCCGAGTTCTTGTTACCATCTAGAAAAACGCATTTATGGTGCGTCGATCTGCATTGCCTTTCATGCTGCCCATCCCCCTGGTAAACTTCCAAGCTGGGCATGGTGCTTCAGGTCCTTAATTCCGGTGCTAGGAAGGCGGATCTGCATGAGTTCGAGGTCGGCGTAGTCTGAGAAGCAAGTTCCAGGCCATCCAGGGTTACATGGTTGA